CTCTTGCCTTAATTAATTTCCAGCATTTTCCTTCCCAGCATTATACTTTTTTTTTTTGACCACGCTGCACGGCATGTGGGATTTCTTAGTCCCCCGACCAGGGATCGAACCCGCGGCCCCTGCAGTGGAAGCGCAGATTCTTAACCAGTGAGAGTTTTCCTGCATAAATATGAACTGACTCTGGAAAAAGTCTCATGCCTCCATGTCTGCCTGATGCATCAGAGTGCGGGGCTACCCCCCATCTTGGGACATCAAGACTATGGTCCCCTCCACGAGTGCGATGCAACAGCCAAAGCAATCCTGGCTTCTTGATTGACTGGGATGGAAGAGGAGGCCAAGCAAAGAGGCCTGCTTCCCCACAAATCCCTTCCCCAATGGGAGCCAGCATGGCAGGAAAATACATTCAAGTTTGATGGGCGTGGGAGCTCTGTTAAAAACATGAAGTTTAACAATGGCTCCCAAGGAAGAAAGAAGTTGATTCTATGCCAGCACTCTGGTCTGTAAACCATGTCATCAAAATTGGTTATGAAAACCTGAGGAAAGAGTGATCTCTGAATTACCACAAGTATTTCGCCTCCATTTTATAAAATTGGTATTTTGATTAAATGTGCTTCACTCTGATGAATCCTGCAAAGAGAAAGGAACGGAAAGTGTCAGCTGAGTGCTTCATTCTGGGGTTAGCAACCACCCCTCATAAAAATTAAAGTCTTCCGAAGTTTTTTACAAGGTAAATTAGATATATCTGCTCCTTTCCAGTTTTTTTTTCATTGTCATTCATGTGAAAAGGCGTCACTATAATAGCGCTGGCTTCCTCCTGCCACTTACTCTTACTGACATCATACTATCTTTTGGATTTCTCAGGAAAAAGATGAGATAAAAGGCAGTTTCCTTGGCAGGGGGAATTTTCATTTTCCATATTAATACCACATTATAATCAAATCGTTTCAATGAAGTTTTGATCCTAAGCCTGGAAGAACAAAAACACCCTTTAAAAATGCCTCTCTAGAGACACAGCCCAGAAAAAACACCATCTTCCTACTCTGTTACAAGTATTCTGTGTTTACCTCCCCTTCCACAGAGTGTCAATCAAGACTAATGACTTCCAAACTTACAGAATTAATAAGGAGAATTAAGCTATATATGTTAACCAGTAAACTTAAACTAACACAGTTCCCAAGCTCCCCTTGGGAGAAATGTGAAGGGAAGCCAGGTGCAAACGGCTTCCTGCTTCATCCTGGGCGCAGGCCACCACCTGAGCTCTCGACCTCTGGGGGGTCATTTCATTGAAACCTCTGTTTGCTCAAGTGCACAGCGAGAAGAAAATGGGTGGCCCGCCGTGCTGCCATGTACCCGCTTCAGAAAAGCCGAATTCCCGTGCCCCACTGCCCCCCCAAGGAAGCACAGAGCGCTGGCCTCGGCATTAGAAGATGTCACCCTGCCTGTGTGGCATTGTGTTAGTTACTTAACGTTTCTGGGCCTTCAGGTTCCCATCCATGAATGAAGTGGGTAGCTTAGACCCTGTGGGCACAAACCCCAAGGTACCACTGAGGTTCTGCCAGGGCTACAGGGACGGTCCACAGACTGGCAAACATATGTCTAGCACTTACATACACTTTTTTCCAAACATCAGGAAAGTTCAGATTAATGCAAAGTGTTACTGATATCAAATAGCTTTTTGTCATCATGGATCTTCTTACTCAAAAGATACTAATAAAAGGTATGATCTCACTTTTGTGTGGAATCTAAAAAACAAAAAGAAGCTCACAGATACACAGACCAGATGGGTGGTTGCCAGAGGGGGGAGGTGGGTGGGAGGTACAAACTTCCAGTTATGAAATGAAGTCCTGTGATGTTCAGCATGGTGACTGTAGTTAATAATAATACAGTACTGCACACTTGAAGGTTGCTAAGAGAGTAGGTCTTGCAAATCTTCATGGTAAGAAAAAAAACTTTGTACACATATCAAATACTGATACATATGAACCATCATGTCCTATACCTGTAACTAATGTAACTTTGTATGTCAATTATACCTCAGTTTTTTTAAAAAGATACTACTAGTTTAACTAGCATTATATAGGGGTCTTGGAAGGTTTTTTTGACATTTAAAAGAGGGTCCCCATATACTCAGAAGAATTAGGAAGCCAGTGGTCTGGAATCTAGATAACCTCTAAAGCTCCTCTACAGGGATGGACACAGAGTCATCCCTGAGACAGGAGCCCAGCCACCGTTAACGCCCACCCAAGTCCAGACATTATCACTTATTTTTTTGACTTCTTTTTTTTTTTTTTTTTTTTT